ATAATTCTTTAAATATGAATAGTCCTATACAAATTTTAATGAATTATAAGCATATAGTGTGCAGAGTTTCTTTTTACTATATACCTATGAAAGTATAGTAAAGGTCAAAATATTTAAATCTTTGAGCATTCACAAAAATGATATGAAGAATTTTTTATTTATTTTGAATTGCAAACAAAATTAAAAGACTCGTACACTAAAAATTCGAATATAAAGCTGATAGTTAAAATATTTCAGTAGGAACCTAACCAAACTTCCAATCCAAAACAAAATAGTAAAATACCTAATAATATTATAACATAGTGCATATATTCTTGCATACCATTATTTAACGACCGATAACATTGTATTACGAGAATTCAGCCCTAGGGAACGAATTACAACATGGCTGGCATTTTGAAGAAAAAAAAACTATATCGGAGATAATTAAACGATAAGCGTCGAACGGGATACAAGTACTGGTTCTACAGGTTTTTCTATTTCATTCGTGTAACCCATGATCTCATGCTCATGTGATGAATACTTGGCGATAGATAAAAAAAAATAATAACAATAAAAATACAAACGTTCAATATTCAAATATACACTTTTGACAAAAATATCTACCATGGATAAAATCACAAAATCAATTTATAAAACATAAGTTTAATATTGAAATGAACAATAAAATGTTAATTTGTATATAGGTATAKCAGGRTCCCAAATACCAATAACGTAGTATAGGTATAAGTAAATATAGTATAAATTAAGTAAATACAAATCAAACTTGTAACAATATTAGTTATAGGTATMTATATAACATCTAATATCAGATGAATAATGATTTATTATTTTATGCATCATATAATGACAATTAATTTAATACTCGTGCTTTTACTAATAATATAAAATATAGGTACTATAATACAAAAAAAATAAGATTTTATACTAATACAATTTGATTTTCATGGTTTATTGAAAAGATCCAATATATTTATAATAAGTACCCTTTGTGAAATTATATAAAAAGGCTTAAGAGCCCATTTATTGCATACTCCGACTACACAACATTACAACAATGACCTCAAAAATACAAAATACCATTTAAACRCTAAAGTGCAATTTCCATAAATAAGTATTACTTAAAAATACATAAACATTTWAAAAAAATTACTTACACTTTTTTTTATAGTACATTTGCCGTAAATATATACATATAAGAATACGTATCTAAAATCGTTACGAAAAATATTTTTATAAAAGTTATGAATTAAATCATGAATATATAATATATACATATATATATATATATTAATAAATAGTAATAAAACAAAATATGTGTATTCACTATCAATTTTTTATTTTATAATTTTAACTTATAAATTATAAATATTATCGTACTTAAAGTAAATTAAATACAKGAAAACRATTTTAATGTACAGAATAAAACGTTGCAATGTAATATTATTAGAATTGTAATACTTTTTTTTACTTTTCTATACAAATTATTAGATAACCAAAAAATCATTGACATAATACTATAATATTCCAACCAGGAAAACAAGGAATCTCTCGATGAAAAAATAATAGACTTTATAAATTATAATGACATACAATAAAAAATAATCAATTTCTATTAATAAATATTCAGGAAAGTTCCTTAGAAAATAAATTTAATAATTTGATTCTATCATAGATAACTTAACTGATAAAATCAGCTCATTAAATCACATTTTTCTCTAAATAATAAGTTTCACATGATAAAATTTGACACATAACAAGGTGCACTACCTATTAAACTACATAACCTCAGTATAAATATGTAAGTAATACTAATTCCCTTGAATATTTTTCCAGCATTTTTAGGATTAATCTAAAGTAGGAATTACATACAAACTAAAAAGTTTTATTAAATACCAAATTAAATCCTAATATATTTATATRCATATTATATACTATTCTAGGTAAATCTCTAAACTATATTTAAAATTAAAATTATATCTATAAATAATATTATGGTTATTATGATTAATTTTTATTTTAAATGTACCTACCTAGTTTACATCAAGATATAGATAATATAGACTTTGATTGTATATAGTATATACTATGCTATATACAATGTGATTTACAGAGCATTCCCGCTCCATTTTTTCATACAATAATGAATATATAAAAATTTTGATTTTCAAAATTTTTAATTGTGCTTTAAATTTTTAAGGACCATATTTTCAAATAATTTCTTTAATTTTTATAGCATTTTAGCAAAGTTCTGTGGTGATATATAATATGACGTAATATCTAGCTTTTTACACTACTTTCGTAAGCGAAACTTACTCGACATTCAATGAACATTTTTTAGTTTATCTATGTTAAAAATATTAAAATGAGCAAAAATTAAAAAAAAAAT